CTATAGAGCATTCAGCAACTTTCAGAAATAAGAAAAAATTAACATTTTTCTTCACAGGTCATTGGGTTGAATAATTTCTTCTAATGAAAAGTTTCGCAATCGAAGGTCAACAAATTAGCAAAAAAGCTGACAGCTGGCTTTCACACGTCAAGCTCACCTCAAATACGTGGACACGTGACTCGGTAGAACAACCTGTGCACTAGGGATTTCTCACATTTCCCCAAGATCATCCGACACCAGTCACTCCTAAAGGAGGCAGGATACCGGAGCAGGCGGATGGGCAATGCAGCTCGAGGATGTAGCTGCAGTTTGACAGCGACGAGCAGCTGACAGACCCCTCGCGTGCTGCTTTCAACGGCTGCGTTCCTCCTGCAGAACCAATCCATCCCATCCGTGCTGCTAGAGGTGCCACAGTCATGGCTGCAGAGGCACTTTCCACTCTTTTTCCAGGAACTTAAACTTTCCAAATACACGTCTGGAAGGCTGAAAGATTTTGTGCTTGCTTCTCCAAGACTAAATTACGCTTTTGTGTAAACAAAGGATTTTTGGTAAATAGAAATAATAGTTTGGATGGGGGGCAGGGGAGAACTTAGAAACTCAAATGGCTTTTTATTTTGAATAAAAATACAAGGCACTTAGAAATACAGTCCTATCACAAGAAATTGCTGAACTCCAACATCTGGATAGACAGTCAAAGACCAGCCTTTCGGAAGCTTTGCACATGCACAGCAAGCTGGATGGAGACATCCAGCACACGTACCAGTGGTTCCACTTCTACTTTCACTCCTGGCTTCCCCTAAGCTCTACTTTGGGTAATGAAGGCAGTGTATTCAGCCACCAAAGAGATAAAAGCAAAAATAATTCCTTAGCTACAGATGACTGCTACACATTTTATTCTTTTTCCTTTACTTCAGGTCATCAAGTAATTTTTAGTAACATTTTGTATTCAGAAAAGTTGGGATTTACAACCTGTAGCATTTTTGAAGCACCATATCTACAGAAGTTATTAACCAAAGGCAGTATTTTCCTAAATGAATAAAAATCTTTTGTTAATTCTTCAAACATATTTTCCAACAATTTATGAGAACAATATTTCCTATGGCTAGCAGATTACCAAGATGGTTAATTATCACTGACTCTTCCTCATGTTTGAGGATTCTTGTGCCAGGAAACACTTAAGAATCCCACAAAGCCTCAGAGAGACTTTCTGCTCATGTTGATAAACGCAAGAAAAGAAACACTACACTACTTGCTAGCCAAGCAGTACTTCCTTCCAACACTCCCTACCTTTTAAAAAGTCACTTTTCTTTTAATAGTAACACGATTGAGGGTGTAGCTGGAGATCTGTATTTGCTGATGCCTCTAGTGTGGTATTCCCTTAGCATCTGAAAAATCAAATACAACCCACATGTGCAGCTTTAAGAAAATATAAACCAGAAAATCATAAAGGTGAACAGGTGCAAGAAAAATAAGATTAAAAAAAAAAAAAAAGGAAAATGAGTTTTTAAACAGGTTCTAAAATTTATTTCCAGGAGTTCTGCCATCTCTCCTGTTTATCTTCTGTAGAAGTGTGCATGACTGATACGCTGAATTAGGCAGCTCCATCACTTTTGCTAAGAACTTTCTAAGGAAAATAAGAAGAAATCCTGTGAAGTGGTTGGTATTTTCTACTTACCAAAATTGTAAAGGAAAAAACATCAAAGGCCCTGCAAGTGGAAATCAGTAAGAATTCATGACTGGAGCATAAACTGAGGAAGCACATACAGTGTGGTTATTTGAATTTTCATTGCTCTAGTAATAATCTCTTTTACGAGGCACTAATCATGTGAGAATTCTTCTGCTACACTCAAACAAGCAGGATGCCTTTGGATTTTTCATGAAAAGGCATCATCAGTAGCTTGCACAGAAAACCAAAATGTTCTCAAGAAATTTCAAATCCCAGTTATTTGCAGTACTTTGCAGATTCCTGCATTTGAATACAACAATGTCAGTTTAAGTAAAGGCAAGGCTGCTAGAAATGTGCTTTTTTAATCCTAGGAACTGACAGGTAAAGAGAGACACATCAATACATCATTACAGTCTTCCCACTCCACCTTTAAAATTCCCAACACAACTGTACCAAAAAAGCTTGTGATGCTAAATCTCAGCATTATCTGGGTCCAACAGGCATTACCATTACATTCTTCTAGTTAGAACTGAACCTTTGTGATTCTGAAGGATTCTATTCCACCTCATTTATGAAAAATTGAGAAGGAATCGATAGCCCTCTGCCCTTGTTTTCAACAGAGTAAACTACCAGAATTACATAAAAGATTTAACATGTATTAAAATCTTTAGAAAAGTCACTAAAGTAATTTTTTGACATAATAACCGACACGTATTTGGAGTACTCCATAAATTCATCATCAGTTAGAGCTTCAGACCTTCAAACCCACTATTACTGAAAGTGGCCGCTGAGCTGTTACTGGGTTACATCCTGCCCACGATCAGAATACAGCACTGAGAAAAAACATAAAACTTGAAATCACAATGAGATCCTTCAGGAACCTCACGCGTGAGTTCATACTTCTAACTACACAAGTCAGCGACTGAGGTTGCAATTATTTCCTCATAAGTCCACTTGTGTCCCATACCTTGAAAATTTTGCATAAAGTTGTTAAAATTTGGCCTGAAAAAAACCCGTAAGACTTGACATTGAAAACTACTGAAGAGCTCTCGACTCTCGGGATTACTAACAAGTGATTGTGGCTTTTTAAAAACGACAGTAATGACAAAGTCATCTTTTCAGTATCTGACAAAATACACAGAAAACCAAAGGCAAACAAAATCACACACACCTGGTCATTTTTTCCCCATTGCCAGGAAGCTCTACATCGGGATTAATGAAAAGGTTTATTTCTAATAAGCTTAAGAACATAATACAGAATCAAGCTTATTAATAAATTTGAGAGCTGCATCATGTATTCTACCATTTTCAGAGCTTCATGGACTGTAACTTCTCCAGCAGGAACTCCCATACTACTTAGCTGATGAAAGAGGTACAAGATGTTGCTTTTAGAACTCGGACATGGAAAGGGACATCCACTGTCAGTATTTAAAATGCTGAGAATTTGAACTGATCCCCCAAAGACTTACTTAGCTGGGGCTGGGAAACATTTTCCCCAGGAAATCTTCTATTTCTCCTTAAATAGGCATGATCTATATTATGCAGTGTTGAAGGTGTTTCGGGAAGAGTTCAATCCCTAAAATAGCTAGAGATGTTCTTTGGACAGTTCAGCACTTTATTTAAAGATACAAAATCATGCCCCTTATATCTTTTCCAAAATATTATTCAGTAGGCCAAAAAGCTTGTTGAGCTTCACAGTGCATCCCGTGGCAGGGAGTCATCTTTTGGTGTGTGTCTTCTGGTACAGTGGTGTGATCCAAACCATCGTAAGTAAAAGAGTCTTTTAGATATGCCTACAGACACCCCATCATTCAAAACACTAAATCCTGAGATGTTTCCAATTCAAGGTACTTCTATAAGACTGTCTTTTTAAAATTTTAACTAAAGATCAGTCAGAATGGAGACGTGCTCTATAATCGGTAGAAAATAACTAGAACCTTTGTGCCGTGTAATAATTTTACTGAACAAACAGCTCTCAAGACATTAGTTTCTTAATTTTTTTTATAGAAAAACCATAGAAGAATAAAGCTTTAAGTAATGGTTTTACAGAATACGTTGCAATTAATCATGGCATAGTATGTTCCCAGATATTCAATACCAAGCTCACAAGTCAGAAGCAACTACCATGGGGCATTTAAAATTGTAACAAGTTCTTCTCATCTTTGCAATTAAAAATGATCTTTAAGATGCCCCACTCTCAGCAGCACTTAGCTTTCACCCAACACAAATTAATCTACAAACAAGTACTGAAATCCCAGAAGTCTGATTTAGGGACAACATTCAGCATCGCCTCAGACATTTAATACATGACAAATTAACTTACTAAATGGAAAGTTTCTCTTTGGGTAACTTAAACACATTTAGTTAAGGACAACACACAAATTTAACTTATAAGGTGTCTTCTCCAAACAATGAGTTTGTGCTAACATGTAGAACACCACCACTTGCAGAATTTAATTAGTGCAGCTTTTAAAGCATTTGCAAACCACAGCTAGTACCTTTTTTTCTTGATTATTTGATTCAGGAGCTGTGGTGGTTAAAACACAATGTTAGTATTTTCAAGGCTACTTTAAAATAAAATGTAATCATACTAATCATCATTTACTTTTTGTACTTAATTATTTCAGTGTAGTCATATTTCACTAAATCAAACAAATAAAGTTCATAACACTAAGTGTGAGTGATTGTGCTTTATGAATTATTTCCATTCTGCCTCTAAAAAAACCAAACCAAAACCATCCCAACTTAACACCCAAATTTAAAAATCTGAGATAAATCTATCAAAAAACCCAAACCATTGAGTTATCAAAACATTAGCAGGAACAAGGTTTCAGAAAGATGCAACAGTGTGATTACATTTTGGATTTTGATATTTTAAAGCCTTTACTTTCATTGATATAAGGTAATTGATTTTTACACCCCTCTTTTTTTTTTCTCACAGCTGAAATCAAATCATCAAGTGTCAGTGATTACCCATGCTTACTCTAAACAGCAGACAACACAAGTTACAGAAACCTGGACCAAAACTACAGTAGTTTACAAAACATAAAACAAGGTTAACAGATACGCCTTCTTTAGGATAATATGCAGGAAGAGTTTTAGGAACTTTATACCAATAGCTCATTTCAGCCTACGCAGTGTTTACTCCTCTCTTTCAGAGGTCCGTGAAATAAAGTGGTAAACATGTTCTCTTCAATATTCACTTCAGTAAGAGTTTAGTTGCAAAAAGATTATAGTTGCATAAATATAAAAACACATGATAAAGCAAAATATTTTTAATTAGTAAGCCAATCATAAATAAGTTTGCCTAAAATTAACAGAAGAAGCAGCTGTGTTCTTTCTACATGGGTACTTTTTTTAGCATGTTTTAATAGTCAACTTCAGTGTCTAGCCTGGGACAAAACAATTCATGACTGAGCACTCAACAGTTCTGCACACTGAGCTAAGTCTGTTTTTTAGTTACATTTTTTACATTTTCTTTACAAATGTAACACTTATGTACATTATATATCTTATTTCTACAACTGATGTACTTTACTGAAACTCTACAACTTTCACAGGGAATTCGCTGAAGTCTTTAGTAAATATGAATCATTCCTTTTGAAAAGAAATTCATATAAACAACCAACATACAGCACTGCCCTTTGACATTTCTATTAAGAATTTGGATCTGGAAGGGCTACTATAATAAATGTAAGAAAAAAGGCTTTACCTAATTGTACATTTCATTAAGAAATATCATCCCACATAGCTACATAAATTCACCAGCTTGCAATAAACAGAGCACCATACCGCTGCACAACTGGAAACATGTATAAACCAATTTAAAGTTTACTAGTGAAACAGCTTTGTCACTCCTAGCACTTTCAGACTGAAGTAAATCTGCCAAACTCTGTTGGAAATGTATGCTTCTTTAGCTGTAAAGCTTCCAAAACAGTGCTGGCCACTGTAGGTTGTGAAGAACAAGCATCCACTTTTGTAACTTTCCACATGCTTCTCTTGGCCCATGCTTCTACCTGAAGTCAGGATTTTTCTTCTATTTATTCCTTGTTCACTTACAGATCTGCTGTTGAATGTTAAGTAAGAATTCATAATATGAGAAAGCTGCTTCTGTCCGATCCTCAATTAAATGCTGAAAAAAATCTGTTTTGGCAGGGTTCTCATCTCTGAAAAAAGAGAGGAAGGCATTTTAGTTCAAACATCAGCCACAATGCCAACCACTGAAAAGCTTCAGTCCTATGTTTAAACATCATTTATCTAAGTAGTAAGAAAGTCATCAAACTCTCTAAAACGTGATCCCTCATCAGGCTCAGTAAACAGTACTCTAAAGACAACAAAAGTAAACTTAAGTATAAACATTTTATAGAATTTAAATTTCTTTAAGTGAGACATGACTTGCAAAGGCTTCCGAATTTGCCTTACGATGTCATAAATCAACTGCTGTCCTAAGGAGCCCAGTAACAATACAATTATTAAACCATCTACGGATTATTAACCTGACTTGAATTTTTTTGTATGTACGTATTGAAGTTATAAAAGCTACCCCAGAAGTCAAACTGGTTAATCCTATTGATCATAAGGATATTTATTGCTTTAGTGTATTTTTAACAATATAAAAATAAGCAACTAATTCCTATCAATAAAACCATTCATAACTAGATTCAAAGGTGATGTCTGTTGCTAAGGGTTTTTAGATAACAGCACTATATCAACCAGAAAGAGCATGGTGTTCAGCTTCTTCTGGGCTGGATATTCCCGCTTTTCATCAGTGTTGATTAGGAATTGTAATACAAGTTGCCAATAATTAGTCAGTAACTAACAGAAATACTTACTTTATTACTTGAAGAACTGGACTTAAAGGTCTACTGTCTCTAAGCCAAGATATAAAGGATCGTGTCCTTTCTGAAGAAAGTGCATCTACCTCAGGAAGCTGCGTCTGGCAGAAGGTAATTGAAAGAAGTAATCATCTTGTATTATCAAAACTATTTAAAAACAGTCGTAACTTGACTCAAGCCACAACTTCTGTTAAGAAATTACCAACCATGGATTACATACACACATTTTTTATTCAGCTTCAAGTACCAAAATTCAGTAATATCTGTTCTGTAGGGAGCAGTAGATCTTTAAATTAAACTCCCTTTTAAGTGTATATGATTTTAGGAAGCAAGCTCATTTAAAAAGTAATCTTTTCAAAATGCTGCTTTTGCCCTTTTCTTGCCTTTATCTCTCCCTGTCAATCAAGTTCCTACACATTTGCATTTTGCATCACTGAGAAGATGTAGAAAACGTGAAGTAGGGAAATCTGAACTGTAAGAAAATGTTGACATAAAGATTATACTTGACTATTTGGTTGGGGAATGAGCTGATAAAAATTAAAAAAGAATTAAAAAACTTGAGCCATTCACCGAGCTAAATATATCAACTCTGAGGCTGTTAATATAACCTTTTAACACAATTCATATGCCATAAAAGGATTGATTACAGATTTAAAAGTAGTTCCACTGTTACCTTTGTAGTAAATGAATGGAGGACAAAATTTAAAAGCAAAGGTAACTTCTGTTTGTTAGTTTTTTTCCTCTCATTTTCATTATAATAAATGCTATACAACCATTGAAAAAAAAAGTTATCATCCTTCCTTTATTCAAGTTCTTCTTGAAAACTCTGTCAACTAATACCACCAGTTGATCAGAGGAGACAGTTTTAAACGGCTAATACAAGCAAAATATAAAATTCTGAACAAGCAGTCCAATTTTATAGCAGTCTTAAAGCTCACCACTCTTAACCTGTTCTTCTAATCACCATTTGTCACTTCCTTTTCCCCTTCACACTATGCAAGCTTTATAAACAGGAGGTATCTTCCTATGTGTTTCTACAACGACTAACACATTTTTGGTACTACCCAAATATACCCACTTGATTCTGAACTTTCCTAGAGTGGCTTAAAAGGATCCATCCTCACCTGCCACTTGTTGACATTTTGGAACCACTACCCACAGAAGAGGGATCTTCTCCTTAACTGCTGCTCTGTTTCGCACATGACTATAGGTACAGGTTACAACATAAAAACCCCTCCGCTAAAACACACATCCAAGGGTCTTTGATATCCTAATAGCTAAAAGCATTTCCTTCTAACATTGACTCAAAGTTTGGAAGCTGAGTAAAATTTAACTCTTACCCCTTACTTACAGGTCTGTCACCTCATACCATAGACCTGGTATCTAATACCAGGTTCGGAGAACACAAGGCTTCTGAAAACCAGGTTATCAATAAGACAACGCTAATCTTAACAATTAACACTTCCAAATAGAGAATTTTTGTATTCATTCTATGAAATTCCATCCTATTCTTTCCTTGAAAGCATTTGACAACTTCTGTCTCCTATGAAGTTGGCAAGTGGTTAAAAGGTGCCTAATAATAAAATCCCTAATTCACAGTTACATAATTAAAACCTGAAAACGCAGAAAAGGCAGATTAAATATAGATTCCAATGTAAGCACTACACAGCACGGCTCATTAAAACACCTACCATTTTCTGTGGTACTGATGCATAGTTTGGGTATCCAAGGACATCTTTTATGAAGTTGTTATCACAGTTTTTTCCAATCCAAATGTAAAAAATCTGTAAAAAGTCAGAATTAGTTTTAGTAAAGGCCTTGCATATGGGAAAGAGACAAGTGGTGTTGTAATTGGAATAATACCAGAATAATATCTTTCATGCAAATGAATCACTTGCAAGCTCCAGTTGCAATTCACACACACGTCTCTTGATTCGTTATTTCTGTATTTACTTATTAATACATCAGTAGCATTTGGAATAAGATCATTAAACGTAAAAAAATAAATAATATATGGGTAGAATGCAAATACTGAAAGAATGAGGATGCAGGACATATCTATGGAACAGTTAATGCACTAACTTCCCATGTTACCTCCTAAACTGAAAAACCTGGAATTTTATAAAGTGACATCACTGTGTCAGTTACTGCACGCCAATTCCCAATCTAAACAAATCGTAGTGAATCATCAATTATCAAGACACATTATAGTAATAATTTCAGACGTCTGGAGACAGAAGCTAGTTTGACATTCACACTCAGCCCCTGAACTCACACGAGGTCTAAAGCACTTTCTAGACTCCGTTAGAGAACCATAATGTTTTATCACATTAGAATCATAGAATGGTTTGGGTTGGAAGGGACCTCAAAGATCATCTAGTTCCACCCCCCCTGCCATGGGCAGGGAAACCCTCCACTACACCAGGTTGCCCAAAGCCTCATCCAACCTGGCCTTAAACACTTCCAGGGATGGGGCATCTACAACTTCTCTGGGCAACCTGGTCCAGTGCCTCACCACCCTCTGAGTGAAAAATTTCTTCCTTATATCTAATTTAAATCTGCCCTCTTTCAGTTTAAAGCCATTGCCCCTTGTCCTATCACTACACGCCCTTGTAAAAAGTCCCTCTCCAGCTTTCCTGTAGGCCCTTTAAGTACTGGAAGGCTGCAATAAGATCACCCCCGAGCCTTCTCTTCTCCAGGCTGAACAGCAACAGCCCCAACTCTCTCAGCCTACTTACTCAACTACTTAAGTGTGGTTTAGTGCAATTTCTACGAATACCTTAAACTGTATCTACAGATTTTGTTCACTCCACACAATTCTCTCACTCTTGCAACTCTTCCAGCAGACAAGCCACAAATCGTTAAAACTACTTATATTTGTGCATAACTGGAAGGTTCCTGCATCAACGAGAAGTGCTTTGTTTGAGAGACTGTGGTACATACAATTTAATAACTGTTAAGAGAAATTTTGGAAAATGGAAATCCACTATTTCCAGAAAAAAAAACACAAACAAACTTCATGTGAACACTTGGTATATTCTGATCAGTCTAGCATGAAAAAAATTAACCTCTGAAGCCTTAACATGCAACCTCTAAGATACTCCCTTGATCTAAATATGAAAGCCTTTCACTGGAACATAGATTACTGCCAGGTTACCTGGAAGGCTGATTCACTACATTGTTATTGTTGAGACCAGACTGCTTTTAATAATTCAGCATGCATTGCTTAAAAAAAAAAAAAAAAGTGTGTGAAACTGGTAACTTACTGAACCACAGTCCATAAGAAAAGCTCCTTCTCTTGTCAACTTCTCTGCAGACAACTTCTGAAGAGGTGGCTGAGGAACGACTCTGTCATTTACATGTATTGTACTCTGTAACAAAAAACAATACTTGATTACACTAGAATATAAATACCTCCTATTTTTTCTCTTAACCAGGTAAAACAAAACAGGAAAAACCACTGTTACTCTCCAGCAAAATTTTGAGGATTCTCATGCAACAAAATGCCATGATAGGTCTAAAAAGATTATGTACCTCAAACAATTTGAGAATGTTACTTAACCTGAAGGCTACTTTATGACTTAAAAGAATGATGCAAGTTCATTTAAGTTGTGTTTGTAACATTTCTCATGCTATAGATGCCAAACTTACGAAAGAATTCTAGTGTTTACACTTAATTTTAGACAAACAATCTCAGATTTTTTTTCATTGCATTCAACTTCATTAGAAACATTGCAAGAGCAGAAACACATCAAATTCTACTCCTTTAAGGGTTCCCTATTTTACTGCATTCAGATAACAGAAAGTTCCTTGATTTAACATGCTGCCTGAGGCCATACAGGGGTTTATCCACAGAGCACTATGACTGACCTGATTAAACAATGTGGCTGTTAGCAATGACATTATTAAACAATATTCCCCCCACCTTCCTCCCCAGCAATAAAAACAAAAAAAAACCTCAAACCCCATATTTTCAGATTAAAGCTGCTTCCCTATCCAATACAAAAATAGGCTGAACATCTATTAAAAATTTGTGAAGCATTCTGCAAGTAACACAGGGAAAAAATGGTCTAGACACTGAGCACAACTCCACAAAGTTTAAAAGATTATTAAAAACCACTATTTTAAAGACTTCATATTATAATGCGGTATATTAGAAGCTTTTTCAGATTTACACACTATGATGAAAATCAAACTACTGCATTCCACTTCAGAAAGTTCCAGGCTTTACTCAATGCTCTCAAGAATCAAGTGTTAAGAGAAAACCAGCAAAAACATTTAAAAAAAATATTCTGCAATATGTATCATAATATTTTCTAAAGAAACAAGAAATTTAAGAACAGCCTCTGTCACAATTACTTTAAACTGAATTAGCACTCTTACATGATTTACAATGTGGTTTGTCAATTAATTTCAGCAGGTCAAATAAGCTCTGTTTTCTGTATCATTCGACTAGAAATAACTGATCTGAAATATTTTGCTAATAAAGCTGGATCTCCCACAGATACTGCTGGTTCTTTACAGCACTCACACACTGAATATAGTGTTTCAGCATAAGTTCCACAAAAAACAAGGTTAGTTAAGAAGTGGGCTTCTCAAATACTGAGGTGGGGGAAGTAAAAAAAGACTAACTAATCAATTCCACTGAAGAATATGGAATTTAGACTCACATATGTGAGTCTATGAAATTCTCAAAGAAACTGTGAGACTATAAATAGCTCACAGATTGTGCTGAACAATATCAACTGCCAGAGAAACTACTCAAGTCACCATATAATCTTGTATGGCACTGAAACTCCTACATATACTTTTCCAAAGCTAGTCACTAACAAGTTCATGAAAACTTACCTGAAAACAAGTTCATGAAAAACAACTTATTTTTGCAAATACAACTAACTTTGTCCTTAAATAAAATACCATCTTACTTTTTACTACTAAAATGATGCCTCCATTTCCTAGGCTATCTCTGTGAAAGGTGAACTAATAAAACCTGGTTTTGTACATGAAGTACTTCCTCAGTCTGTCTGATCATCACCATTTAGTAGCACAATTCTGTTCCATCCACATCAGTGTGAGAAACCACTGAAAGTTTGTTATTGCAAGCAATTTTAACCAGTTTCAGTATACAAATCCTAGAATCCTCCAAATCTACTTCATCCATTTCCCCCAGACAGTTCTAAAACACAAAACCACACTGGAGATGTTTGTAATGCATACAGTCTTCTTGGCTTTCTTTGTATAACAGAAAACCACAGAATTATTACGGTCACTGAAACAAGGTGAAGTAAAACACCACAGTTCTGTTCATAACACAGTACTGTAATTCCAACTTAAAACTTGAAACAAAATGTTGTCTTTATTTTTTTTAAATAACTTACGGAAAATGCTCAGTTTACATTACAGTAACAACTTTAAGTACATTGTTGAAGCACATCAGGTTTAACAGACCATTAAAACTAGAAAATGTTATAAAACTGGCTTCATACATTACCTCATTAATCAACTTGTCTATTCTGTACAAGTTGGGATGTATCATTTTCATCAAATGGACAAGAGGCTGGCTCTTCATCTGGCACATTGCATACACACGATCATCCAAGCGTGTACTTGTGCCTGTTCTAAATGCTTTCTGTAAGAGAACAGTGTTGTTACTCACACAAATCCTCTATTTTATGTCACATCTAAACTGCGTACTGCACATTTTTTTGAAAATGTCAAGCAAAAATAGCAAAGCTTTTGTAAAGAAATATTTTATTGAGACACATTAGAATCTTAATCAAATACAACCTGAAAGCAACACCTTTTAAAACATAATCCATTCTCCCTCCTTATTGATGAAGGAGAATTAAAAAAAAAAAATTCTCTCACTTTGTGTAAAATTTGTATGTGACTGGGCCAGCATTTCTCCTTTTTATTCTTGACAAATGTTACTGGCCCGTGAAACTCACTGATGCAAGATATCATGGGAAGATACGAGCCTAGCAGACTTCAGAAACGTTACTTCCGTGGATAAGTCACTCTGATACTCTGATTTTTTATTAGTAAGAATTAAATGTGAAGGAAAGGCTTTAGAAAGGAAATATACTTTCATGTTTTCTAGCAGAAACTAGGCTCTCATAGGATAACATTTATGTTGTAACTCTCTTCCCTACCACATTCTTCAATCTCCTTTAGAAGCAATCGGCAAACGATCGCTGTTAGAAGCAAGACAACGGAGTAAGCACCATATTCTGATTCAGTGGAGAATATTCCTATAATCAAAATTCATATTCACTTCTACAGCAAAACGAAGCGTATCGGTCCTCTTCTCTTTTGCTGCCACAAGCAGCAGTTTGGGTTTCGGTTTCTCTATATCTCAAGCTTTTTTTATTATTGTCAACAAAGATAATAATAATAATTAAAAAAAACACCCAAAGAACTTATTTTCTCAGCCACTCTCACTTCTGTCTTTCACATGGATCGTCTTGATAATAAATGGTCTGTTTTTTCCCTACCATTAACTGCATTACTTATGCAAGTACCAAAGAAAGACGGAAGAAATCACTGAGCCAAAGAAAACAAGTTATTATGACTGGATTTCTTAATAAACTTACATAAAGGTTTATTCACGATAAGAAAACAAAGAACTGTCAGCCATGAAAATCTTAAAGCTATGAGACTTATTGATAACAAAACCTTGCAATAAGTTTTCTTTTCATTTTTAAGTATGATGTTTGGTAATACAAACAAAAACATTAAAAAAAGTAAATGAAACAGTACTAACGTCTTCTCTGTGAACTTTAGTTTCTGTAACAGATTTCATTATATCTCCATGGAAACTCATTTTCCTTCCTGGTACTTTAAAGGACAAAGTTCATGCACTGAAAAATATTTGACTTGTTCTTTCTTCATCAAATTGAAGAAGTACTAATGAGCGGCTTCCAACAATCTTTATGGGAAACATCAATTAGCTGCCAAAATCTGAGAAATGCTAATTGTCACTATATATATTTCTTTTTTCATTGTGCACCAAAATAAGACAACATATAAAAAATTCAAAATCAAGTAAACCAATAAACTGTTCAGGTACTCATCACTTAAAATAGGCTAATATAGTCATCATCTATGTGAAAGTCCTGTAAGCTCAAAAAGGATAACCCAATTTTCATAATTTTAGAAAAGTGCAGACATTGCTTGACCTAGAGCTGAAGAATTCCTTAAACGGAACAATGAGTTCAATATCAAACACTAATCCACTAGATTATACACACCTGTTTGAGAAGGGCCAGAACATACAGTGGAAACAGCTTGAGGGAATTTGGTGCCACCAGCGTGGACTGCTGCAGATTGGAGGCAGTTGACATGTATGCTGCCAAGGAGTCTACCACAGCATTAACTAAGGCATCTCTTGCGTCTGCAAGACTGGATGAAACTGAGCGATCCACAGCTGTTGGGTTAGAAGGACACAAGAAGTTAGCAGAGTGGGCCTCATTCATTCCCCTGAATTTCGAAAATATTATCTGTGCTTTTTTGTGATATTTTAAGACTTGTTTTTTTTTTGAAAAAACCACACCTGTGGTCCCAACCTTTTAAAGGAGTAATTAAGATGATTGCCCATACAGAAACTCACTTTCATGATGCTTAAAAAATAAAGCGTGGCTGATCTCTGCTCCCTAGTTCCTACTCTTGGAGTATTTTTTAAAAAATTATTTAAAGCTGTGGTATATACTTGAGACTAAATATAAATCCTGTTTTAAACCTTATACAAATAACTTAGCTATTGATGAAACTTTCTGCTGCCCTACCTCCAAAATAAGATTTGCAGCAATTATTTTTGATTTTTTTTTTTTGCCACAAGAAATTTCTTCCACTATTTCAGTGGAATAATTATGATTAGTGTAAATGAAGCTTCATCTTTGCTGAGAAAGGGCTGCAAACCCTTGCTTGGAGGAAGCCACCTGCTGGACAACGCACATTTAAGACGAGATACAGAAGTGCTATTTATTTCTTCTAATTTATTTGACTATTAATACACAACATCGCATATACTAAAATGCTGCACAAAGCCATACACATTTGACAGCAGAGATCAGCCTATGAAACAGCTATTTATGACTCATAGTAGAGGTCAAGTAAGAATTCTTAACCCAGCAATGACAGGATAGAGGCACAGAAAACTAATGCGTATCTTGGATACACTGTTGTCAGAAGTTCCCTTTTAGCCTCCAGCAACTCACTAAACTGAATCAGTCTGTTTTGTAAGTAATCCTAGAACACTAAAGCCTGAGGTAACAACCATGATGATGATGGTGATACAAAAACAAGAGTTTTGATCTAAGCGTGTTATTATTCTTTGTCCTTTAATGAACTCCAGAGAACAACGTAAGAAGGCTCCTTTTAAAAGACTGAAGTCAACTAAGTATTCAGACTCAGGAATATTTCAGTTAATAGTTTTACTTTAACTGATTTTGTCATCTTTTTTATTCTCGGGCTTCAGTGTAGAATCATAGAATCGTTAGGGCTGGAAGGGACCTTCAAAGGTCATCTAGTCCAACCCCCCTGCAAGGAACAGGGATATCTCCAACTAGATCAGGTTGCTCAGGGCCTCGTCCAACCGGGCCTTGAACGTCTCCAGGGATGGAGCATCCACCACCTCTCTGGGCAACCTGTTCCAGTGTTCTACAACTCTCATGGTAAAAAATTTTTTCCTAATATCCAACCTGAATCTACCTCCCTCTATTTTAAAACCATTACCCCTTGTCCTATCACAACTGGCCCTCCTGAACAGCCTCTCCCCATCTTTCTTGTAGGCCCCCTTGAGGTACTGGAAGACCGCTATAAGGTCACCCCGGAGCCTCCTCTTCTCCAGGCTGAACAGCCCCAACTCTTTCAGCCTGTCCTCATAGGAAAGGTGCTCTGCTCCAACCTTTTTCTACAATATCCAGGCTTCATTCACCACTTCATTTAAACGGCTGGCAAAGTTAAGAACATACAAAAAGAGGTACAAGTTCTCCTGGTCTGTACTCACCCATGTTGGCTAAGAGGCATACAACTGCTTGTACATCCGCTCCTGCATATACATCAGCGAGTGAACTTACTACAGGCAAGCAAAGTGTGTGCACTCGAATTCGACGTTCACCTAGTAACAATAAGTAGAAACCATTACACAGCACCTCCCAGCAGAGGTATACAAATTCAGTCATTACAGCGTATCTCCTCTCATCTAAGGTGCATCCATCTTGTAAAAACACACCAGTCAGAAAATTGCTGTAACGCCATATCCCATTCTTGTCAACCCATTAAAATTCTGTAGCGCTCTAAAGCATTCAACTCAGGAATCAGCACAAGCTCGTAACGCGAACTAGCTTATAACATCCAAAGTGTCTTGATCCTACAAATGAAGTACATTGATTTTCATCCCAAAATTTTGTGGCACCTTCCACAATAGAAGGTAGTTGCTATTCTTTATGTCCACCCAGTGTACTAGCAACTCGCTCAATCCATCACGCGTCAGTGCGCCTGGACAAAGCGTGTGCCAAACATGTTATTGCAACAGTATGCCTTGTAAGTAAAGGAATTTTGCTGAATCAACTCTATCTAAGATGGAGACAGATTGCATTTTGCTATCAAAATAGGATTTATAGAGATTTACATTAAGTGATTAACTGCCAAGTAGCTTTGACAAGATTCTCTTCGGGTATACAGAACACCACAAGGCTGTGGAACTAACTACATAAATGCTATGTTACAAAAAGAAACAAAAAGCCCCATGGTCAATTCATTTGAATTTATTTACCTTTGCTGGAAGTATACAAAAGAGCTGTTTGAAAACAAACCAAAGACGTGTCAGTCAGACTTTCCTCGATGGACATTTGTACCGCAAATCCAGCATCAGGACTGACATTGGCAAGGGACAATAAATCAGTAGATCGTACAAAAAAGTTCCCATGAAAAGTGTGTATTGAAAGACCTAGAAGCAGGTTAAGTGATTCAGAGAGGTTAAAACAGCATGAAAAACTCCTGTCAATAATTAAAATCCACAGCCCTCAAGCTATGTTTAAGAAAATAGGAAAAACACTTATTCTAACTATCATGCAGAATCAATTATGTGACTTGTCAGACACTTCAGCATGATCCTGTAGATTCACATTCAATCCTGAACACTCCAAGCTGAATGATGCTCTTACACTACAGACGTCGATTTAGTTGAAGTGAGATGGTGCCACCTTAGGCGAAAACCGAAACAAAACCCCCAGATGTCCAAATGGCAAAAGCTAACGTAACTTACAGAACAGCAGGCGACTACCTTACTCTCCAGTGAAAGAGAAATAACCTGGAATCTCATGTTGCTAAAGACTAAGCACACTCAAAATGATAGTTAACATGCTTCCATCAACTTTTCCATACGAACCAGTATTTAAAACACACCTTTTGTACATCTTATGCGCATAACTGCTTCAAATCCGATCTTTCTTGTAAGGTATCTTTTAAGGTCTTTTTGCAACTTCTCGGCCTGAGCGGGATTATGGCTACGATGGAAAGATGGATAGTAATAGATGCATCCAGCAGAGTACTTGGACATGCAAGCTGTGAAGGAGGAAAAGATATGGTTAAGAGGTAAATCCATAACATGAAGTCAGGACACGAAAGTTGTGCCCTACCTTCTGCAAGTCACATCTATGTTCATCTTTTTGCTGGTATGACCCACGTCCATTAAGACAATGAGAACTGGTCCAGACTCAGACCACTGAAGACAGTGATGAGTCACTCCAACACACAATTATCTAATTACACACTTACTTCAAAAAGCACGTTACCTTTGGCAGCTAAGAAGAGTGCGTGTAGAAATATTTAATGGTGCAGAAGCAAAATTAAGTGTGTATGAAGAGACTAATCTTGATTTAATACTGAAAGATGAGAATTCTGTTCTACCCCTATTATTAAACTTTACTCATTCCTTGCCATCTGGTTGTTTCCTGTTCTTGAGCACAAGAGTTATCTTCTCATTTAAAACTGTGAAATCCCAGAATAAATTGTCCAATACCACCAATCCAATACTCCTGTTCTTTACTGCTATGAACTTAAAAGTCAATTCATTTGCAGCATTAGCGGCATTTACAAAAGTGCAAAAAGATGTACACAATTTCAGAATTCCTGAAGTAGTCTGTGCTTCTGAAGAAAGAGAACAGTGTGGAAAGAGTAAACGCATACATTAGGTACTCCTTACCAAGAGAAGCTAGATCAGAATATTGTGAACTTAAGAGAAACAAATCCACAGCAGTTTGCTGGCCTGAGCAGTCCAGTGCCAACTTCTTATAAAAATCCGTTGCTGGACCAAGATGTTGGACCACCTTTGGTGAACAAATTATACAGGAAATAGTTAAGACAATGACCATCCTCTCTTAAGACTTCATGGAATAAAAGACATACTATTCTGTAGCAAAGTATCATAAGGAAGTTTCCTTTAAGCAGTAATTTATAGGCACTTCCACCTGCAGAAATTATTTTCCTTATGCTCCATATTCTTTTAGTCTGTATTTACAAGCAATTATGATCCTACTGTCAAGGAAGTTTATATACAAAGTATGCAAAACAAGGAAGTTCTCATACAAATTAATACTCCTGTAACTATGTAATAACACTTATTGGATGCTGTAAACTGTAAGGCTATAACAATAGCAAGAAATCATGTTTTAGGTCTATAACTTAATACGTCCACGCTTTGGTTCAAAACCCAGGTTGATACTAACCGAGTCAGAGATATTCCCAGCTTCTTTTGCTTGCCAAGAAAAGGTATGGACCAAAGGCCCAAAACACACCTTATGCACTTTGAAATAAGTAACACCACACGTACATGCATAAATTAGTGATCTTAAATGCACACAGACTTGGAATAATTAAAGTTTAGTGAATTGCTATAAACAAAAATCAAGAGTTAATCTGCAGAACTATGCAAGTCAGAAAGACATAGCCAGTCCCTAGTCTTGTGAGATGAATATTCAAGGAAGTTTTTGTACCTTTGTGCTCGACCTTTGATTGGGATCTTCTCTGGAATGCAAAAGCCCTGCTCCCAGAGATGGCAACTGAGTCTGAAATACCGATATCCGCCCGCCCGTTGGAGACATCAGTTTAAAGGCAGCCTGAAGAGCAGGGCCCAACGCGCTGTGTGTTTCCCTGGTGTTGGTGAACATGTTTGGTAACGCATTCAATAGATCCTTTATCAGCTGCAGAACAGATGGAAAGGTGTTGATGAGACTCTGCAAGCTTGAGATTTTCTGCGGTTTCTAAAAAGCTGTGTTGCCATAACTGAAGCAGAACAATCAGCACCGAGTGTTTCTGCTTAGTTTCAACACACTGAGGAAAACAAAGTCGTAATTTTAAAAACTATGATGCAAACAAACAACATGTGATACTTCTATAATTAAAAAGTAGCATTAGAATTACATATCATGAAGAAAGCCTTGAATTCAAAGTTTAAAAGGAACCTCTGTTTTCAATATTCAACTCTTTAAATTTAATGATATGTTTTGAGCAATCATACCTCTTTGCTTTCATGGAGATTTACAAGTAAACTATCTGGTGTAGGTAAGAAAATATCTGTAGTGAGAATGGAAAAAAGTATTTTATTAAAGAAAAAAATATCATCAAAATAGAATAAAACATTTCACTGCTCACTGCTACACACACCATGAAATGCGGTCTACTTTTCTGATACATATATTAAGAGAATAATACAATCTATACAAAAGTTTCTTTTATTCAAAGCAAAATCTACATTTAAATTTCACTTTTTAAAACCCACCTATTCTGTAGTTAGTGTAAGATTATTTTTTAAAAAATGTATTCCCTAAACATTCAATAAAATTGACCTAATACCAGAATATTTGAGAGATTCTAACCTTTCTTCTGGGGGAAAAAAAAGTAGCTTCTCAAGAATTAAGTTTACATTTTCTTTTTACTTACCATCAATATCTGAGACAATCAGCATCTGAGGCTGAGATAAACCTTCTTGTAAGTTGTAAAACTGAACAGTGCTGTCAAACGTTATGAACCCTATTCTTGTTCTTGAGTCTCCAGGCAGCCTGAAGCATTAAAAAATAAACTATTAAGCCCTAAATTTCTCTCTCAAGACACATACATACACACAGCTCCTGCTGACGTTAGCAGAATCCCAACTCATGCACACAGGGGTGAAGGGAGAAAAGAAAGCAGATCTGAAACATGAACACAAGTAATATTTCTTCAGTGTTTTCTGAAAAGCTGGGATAACGATACAGTTCACAAGACTAAGTGTTACAGATAAGCAGTCACTCATCTAGCGATGTTTTGTTCCAAGAGGGAGCTTAGTACATCAGAACATTACACTGACACATGAAAGAAGGCAGCCTTCTCAGTTCTTCAATGGAAAAATAGAACATTCTGCTCTTTCATAATTTAAAAACTCCATTTACTAAAGTAATTACAGAGGACTTACAGCTCTAAACCAAAACCCAATGTCTCTACAATGCAACACACTTATTTCTCGTGTGGACCATATTCCTATGTGTGGCATTAAACACAAAATTAAAACTAAACAAGATTTCTCAAATAAAATACAAAACATCAGCAAGTGCTGAAAACCGTGACGGTCACCAAAAGCAACACAGGCAAATACTGTTTTTACCACCTGGGTATATAAATTAACTGTATGTACTGATTTTCCTACAGACTTTGCATGGTATTTTATCAATTTTCCTAAAATTATTTAGCATGTTTCTGACAAAGTACCTGTAAAGATCTGAATAAAGAAAAACTAAACCAATAAAGGTAAGTGAAGAATTTTCTTGTACATGTCGGTGTCTTTATCAGAAATTAAAATCAAGTTTCATGAGAAAAACTTGTAGAAAACAATTATCAGAGTGAGGCTTCCACAGGATGCAAATTGATTTTCAAAAGACATGAACATAGTGAAGTTTATCAACCCTCCCTCAAAAAGCACCACCAACAATCCCCCACATGCTGTTCCAGTGCAAAAATGAGAACAGACAGAAAGCAGCACAGGTAGATCTAGGTAACTGATCCGAAAAAACCAAACTGGCAACACCATTCACCCAGGCAGTCTCAACACTGGTGGTTACAACACTCCAGTACGCAGCACCTCAGCTGTTTCAGTGCAAGAATCAGCCAATTTAATCTCTGTAATTTGGTTATTTTTGTTGGTCTTGGCAGGGGGGAAGAGCAGATTTTGTAAATGTTTGTACCAATGACATGTTGTTAGAAGTTACCGCTAAACACACTTTGAAGATAAATTAAGTAAATTATTTGTAGATCCACCTTTACTCACATTCAGGGAAGACAGCTCTCATCATGTAAATGGCTTCAACGGCTGGTTTTTTTTTGAGCATTGTTTTTTCTGCTTGGTTGGTGGTTTGTTTTTTTGTTTTGTTTTTGTTTTGTTTTTTAGACATGTAAGTTACATTTCAGAATCTCATGCAACAGAACTTCTGTCCTTCAGGGACACAATGTTTTAACACTATATACAAGTTTTCCACAAAATTTTAGGTCAGTATCATTCATAATAACATGTTAGCTAATTGGAGAAGGTTATTTATATTCTTACTTGTCTAGGTTTTCCAGCAATGACTGGCAGAGTATTGTCAAATATCCAGCCTCCACTGCATTATGAGACACATCTAAAACAAATAAATATACCGCAGGCTGAGGAGGACGAAGCTACGAAGTAAAAAAAATAAAAACAAAAAAAAGTTCAAAAATCATATTTAAAGAAATGTTAAAAACGATTAGTCATAAGAAAGGGAAGTGGGAGAAGGGAATACTTACAGAAATGCAAGGTATACATTATGCAATAAAACTGATTCATGGAGTCATGTGGCTAGACTTAACCACAATGGCTAGTGGTTCACACCACCTATTTGTGGTGAGCATATAACGTTACACTTCAGAACAGAAATTGGGTATTTCGGTATCTCCTTCCAACAGTCAACTCAAACGTGGCTTTCTGATGCCAGATATGGCATTCACTTTTCAAAAACCCCACTGTTCTCTCAGGATACGGAGAATGCAACCCATTAAATGGAGATACAATATTCCACCCGCATCCTTTTCCCAACCATGCGACAAGCTGCGTTTATTCATTGCCAAACGTCTTGGCCACAGTGTTTCAATTCAAAGACAGGTGAACAATTTATTTTTGCTACTGTTAATAAAGTCACTAGGAACGGGGCCTTTTCCCAGGCCCTGTTTATCTTTCTTGAAGACAAGACTACTATCACAGCAATTGTAGGTTGACTCCTAGTTAGAATTGTTTCTGTCACAATTTCTAACCAAAAATTTGAACCAAACTTAATTATCTCATTATTTCGTTACTGGTCTTTGAAAACCTGTTCAAAATGAGGGAGAAACCTAGAAACCACATTGCAACGGACTCAAACCAGACTACGTCATATTAAAATACACTGGACCATCATATACATTACAATTTCCTTTAATTGACAAGCCTCTCAGTATCTACTTTTGCCAAAATTCAAAATAAAAATCAATTTTAACTATTCTTTGGTGTTAAGAGGACCTTCACAGGAAGATTAATACACTCCATTGGAGCAAAATGAAACAGTAATTTCAAACACATTTATATTAACACACAATTGTTGTTGAAATTCTCATGAAAGCTTTTTTTACCATATAGTCGGAGGAAGCAATGAATTCCACTGTAGAATTTTGGACCTCTGGCCGTTTGTGAGGCTCTCCATAAGATCGTGTCAGAGGATTATACATAAATTCTTCAGGAACTATAAAAAAAAAAAAAATTTTTCCACAAAAAGAAGTTTATATATCTGTCAGCAAATAGAAACCATTATGGCAGCTACAAGTAAAGTAATGCAGACGTATTTCAATTATCACTAGCAACAGATAAAAAAGTCACACTAAGGATATGTAAAACAAAGGAACATTTCCAACGGAGCATTTCACAACAAGAAGCTTCAATCTATATTGTTTCTCATAGCCTCTGGCCTGCATTGCAAACAGTATTAGCTGTCATCATGTTTCCATTTGCATGTTGCAGCAGCAGTCAATGAAGTAAGTTGATGTCATTATACAAGTAATCAGGATGACGTGATTACATTTTCTTAGTATCCCAGAAAATTGCAAAACAACCTTTTGCTTCAGAAAACGCACAGCACATCTGACTTATGATCCATGGATTTTAAAAGACATCATAAGAACACTGCCATTTTAATCTACATTTTAATCTGAAACATCCTGTGGACTGATATGATGCAAATACTTGAAAGAGACTCTACAAATGCAAGCACCTCCTGCTACAAAAACTTACCATCATTAACTCTGTAGCACAGATTGCATTTCCACCTCCTTTGATCAATGAAAGAAACAAAAGGGTTGATATATGTCCTGCAGGATCTGCACCTCACTATCGTGCTTGATGTTATTACTGGCAATTGCTAAAAAGAAATAATGGAAAGCTGTAACAAAGGTATAAAATACATTTTATGGAGAACATTACTATGCAGTACAGTGTATAAAAGTTTCATAAGACTAGGTATTCTATCATGTTCCCTTTTATCTTTTTAGCTCATTTTCATATTGACTAATAACAATGCCTATTAAAAATATCTTCCCCTTTAAAATCAGAAGAAATAATATTAATTACCGTCTTAATCCAATCTCGCAAATTAAAGATACAATAAGATTTTTAATGGAATTACTTTATAGTTACAGTAACACAGCTACTATGGTAAAAGCAATTACGAAAGACAGGACAACTTTGGGTGACTAAATATGATAGACAGCAAATCTTACACAAAACCCACACATGACATAAAAAAGTCATACTAGACAGTTATTCACCTCTTTACACAAATACAAATTAGATGAACAGGAGTGCTTAACAGTTACGAACACAGCTCCTATCTTACACTATGCAAACCTTCTACTGACAATGTTTATCATGTCAGTAATACACTCAACATGAGCACCCCTTTCCGGAGGGCACTGCAAACGCCTTCCCAAGAGATGTCTGACAGTTCCAAGCCCAACACACAGAGCAGTAATTCAGAGCTTCAGAGTACCACAGGCAAGCAAAGACTTCCAACAACAAGGAAAAATTTTTGAAGGACTTGTCCAAAGCTTTCCCCTTATGAATTTCAACGAAGCATCGATTTCAAGGCTTTTTTCCTCCCTCCTCCTCTAAGTCTCAAACTTTTTTTTGCTACTTCTGCTAAATTCAGGGCTTATAGTTCATTATATTTTATTGTTTGAACAAAAATAGGACAAATGCATGTATTAAATATACATACTAAAAAAAAAGTAAGCTACTTACCGTTAGGTCCCTGAAGGGATGTAGCAACAAACCCAAAGGAAGTTTGGCTTTGTTCAACAAAGCCTGTGTCTGTGGAATATTTGTGAGCGTACATCGAAATGAGCTGAAAGGAAATAAAAACATTACCTTGAAAATGAAATACTAAAAGACATTAAAAGCATTGTCTTAACATCTGATTTAAAGAATTTTGAAATTTAAGAAATCCTATGTGTTACAAAGTAGATTTAATAAACAAAATTAATGCATCAAGAGATTTAAAAAGCCTCTTATTTAAAGAAACAAACAAAATACTCCCCTGCTCCCCAGTGTAGTAGTTCAGCAATGCAAGTATAACAAAACAAACTGGCAGTAGAGAGATAAAACTGCTTTAGGTACAACGCTCAGTGTAAAATGGTGTATTTTTCATTCATTATAAAGGCTTTTTGGGTGAAGGAACTAAAGAAGGAACACAGCATTTACTAGTTCTCAAAAAGTAATATTTATATAAGAAAACAGTAGAAAAGGATCTCAAATACTGAGAGTGTCAAAAATCTTTTCTTTTGTGTAAAGTGGAAGGTGGACTTACAGCTAAATAAAGGGCACTAAAAAAACCCCAAACAATGCACAAGTAGTGCTGTCCCAAGTGTTCCACACCTAAGAATGATTTTAAGACCTCCAGTTTTCTGATTTCGGTCTTCTGGTGGGACCATGCATTGTCACTAGGGCAGTAAGCTGGGTTAATGTGGAGCAATGAATAAAATTTCTCTTGGAATTAAAATTACAATCTTAGGGGGAGAGCAATTCCCATTGTACCTAGCTGCACTTGACTTGGGATAATATGTAATGCTACTTAACGTTAATTAGAGGTGACAGGACACATCACAGTTGCAGGATTCCCACAGTAAGGTATACCACCCACATTTTATTCATTGTATTTAGGTATGATCATAATTTTCTGGAAAAAATCCTATGCGATATTACAAAAATATTCCTTGAAATGTACTGCATAACATTAAGGTGTTTATTAATAAATTTTTTTTTCGATGGATAAAACAAGGCAAAGATTAAGCAGGTTTCTTAATGTTTTAATAAGTGAGCTACCCTCACGCTGCATGTAACACACACTGATGGCAGGACAGTTCCAGTATTTGTGCAAGGATGCAGAATATAAACTTATTTTAAAGCAAAAGGGATTGTATTAGCTCATCCCAAAGATTTAAAATTGGGAGTCAGTTTAGATATTTTATTGACATTTGAAATATTAGTCACTGAAAAACGTAACATGATGTTCTAGACACAGCACACTTACTCTGGACTGCAGTTCAATTTCCTAAGATCAGAATTCAAGTTAGGCACAGGTGCTGGAACTGAAGATACAGGTAAAATATTTCTATCTTGTGTAAGGTTTACTGGTCTCAAGCTTTCTGGCTGCTGAGAATGCTGTAGACTTAACCCTCCTAAAGAAGAGGACAGCTGGTTCACACCTGGATATTGCTGAAAAAAGTAAGAGCATTGCAAATAGGTAAACACACAATCAGGTTTAAATAAGAATCTTAAATCTTGTAATCTCAGTTCTTCCTGGCACGTATTTTAAAAAAAGATATAGCAGTAGGTAGCAACAAACCCAAACAAACAAGAAGAGTTGTATGGTAGAAATTTAAAAATGCTAAGACAAATGTGACATACCTTCCAAACACGTATTGCTGGACAAAATTAAAATTCCTGATAAAAATCAACATTGGAAGTGACACATAACCCCTCAAGCTTTCCAGCAATAAGAAAACAAGTTACTAGAAAGGCTGACAATTTTTTTTCCCCTCTTCAAAGATGCTACAATGTAACTTTTCCAAGTTACATAACCTGGTTTTGATACATTTATTTTTAAATTAAAACAAAACAAAATACTAGAGAAGAGGAAACAAGGTCAGGTTGGAAGGCATCTCTGAGGTCTGGCAGCCCAACCCTCCCCTCGAGCAAGGCTAACTTCAAAGTTAGGCCAGGCTGCTCACAGCCTTGTTCAGCTGAGTTTTGAAAATATCTAAGGATTGAAGATTTCACAGCACAATCTGTTCTAGTGCTTCCCCACTCGCATTCTGAAGAATTTTCTCCTTATATGTCCAATTGGAATTTCACTTGGTGCAACTTGTAATTGCTGGGGTTTATCATTTTACTGTGTACTCCTGAAAACAGGATAATTCCATCTCACTTTACAGTAAGGATGGAGCTAAGCCTTACCAAAAAAAAAAAAAAATTAAACATTTCCTGCAGGTCATATTTTACCTTACCTCCATAACTAAAAAAGCATTCTTAGACATTATAAGCCAACTTATGGTACTACACTCAGATCAGTAAGGAATTCTGATCATCTGCAACAGCAGCTTTGACACATTTGCCAGCTGGGCCTTATTTCAGAGAGTGGGGTTTATAAATCAGTAAGTTTCATTCTCTACACCCTTTCACACATACAGAAATGCTGACGTAGCCCAGGGAAGCATTTTGGCTCAGCATCCGCCTCTTCCTCAGAGTTCACTGCTCTTGGGTGACTCACATGTGCAACGGGAGCCAGGTGATTGTACACAACTTCTTGGGTGTTTGGTGCTCTCTTTTCTCAGGAAAACAGAGCGGGCAGCCTGCTCCACCACACACCCAGCACAGGCTCTACAGAGCTCTCCCATCTGGATCACATGCCTCGCCTTGCTCGTAAGGCGATTTAATGCTTGATGGCCCATAGCAGTGGTCTGATCAAACGTGTATTTGCTGTTGAAGAATTTCATTAAGCTTCTTTATGGTTTCCTATCAATAAAGTACAGCTCTCTGAAGCACTGAGCCTTAGAACTGTGGATGCTGATGAAGCAAACTTGTTAAGCCTAACTATTTGGAGACACACTTAAAATTTTAATTCAAAAGCCTTCTAATAAGAAGTTAAGATCCAGAGCTATGACACCAATATTATAATTAACATTTATTGGCTCAGAAATTGTAAAAATAAAATACAAAAATATGTAAACAAAGAAATATATCATGCAGAAAAGACTTTTCCATGAAGTTACTTCATGAAGTTACTTCATGAAGTAACTTCTACATTAAAAATACAAACCTGTGGATAGTGCTGAAACCCAGGATGGTGCCCTGGATTACTGGGCTGCACAGGAGCAGGTGGTGCTGCGTTTTGGTAGCCAGGTTGCAGTGTTGGATAGCCATAACCAAAGGGCTTAGAAGCTTTTGATGTTTGGGGGACTGACGGAGCAGGAACTGGGCTGCTGGTCACAGAACGTGTCTCTAGAAGGACAAAAGAATTCCCACAGGTATTGAATACACTTACTACTTCTTTCTTAGTTTAAATGTAAACTCCTAAGTGCTTAACATACAATTTTTCCATTTGTAAGTTTTGCATTATCCATCAAGTTTTTTATCCGCACTGACCAAATAAATTAGCAAGGAAGTTTACTGCAATTATGATGACAAAGGGGGTATACCCGGGAAGATGACTAGAGACTTGTATAACTACCAACAAAATGCGATTTTACAAAAAAAAAAAAAATTACTTTTTTTTTTTTAAATATTTCAACTGAAAGAAGAAGAAATAAAACCCCCTTAGAAGCACATTTTATTCCAAGATATACACTTGGTATAAACTGCAAGAGACCATTCATGCTTAGTCCCTCCCCTACCACTTATAAATTCTTCTAAAACATAAGGCTAAAGCAACAGAACTATTTTCTATGTGTAACCACAGAGCTTTTCTTGAAGTAACGCAAGTCGCTCCTATATATCTCTGCAGCGTGGTTTGGTTCCACTATTTTAAAGGCCAAATTGAAAGTAACACAGACCTAAATTCATAGAAAACTTAACAGTTGTAAAGAGACAAAACTACTCTTTAGAGAAGTCTACAAACGTGAGCCAAGTTTCAGAAGAATTTAAGCCAGGGAAAATCCACCAGAAAAAGCAGCAGAAGAGACCAACCACTAAGGAAATGAACCACCAAGAGAAAAAGTTAAAAAAAAAATAATAAAAAAATCAACAGAATGAAAAAATTCAAAGCTGATCCTGTTACTCTTTAAGGAAAACAAAAGGAACAATTTATTTTTAGAATATGCCTTCAACAGGACCAAGATGTTAAGTCATTAGCTGAGCAAACAGAACTTGCAATCCTGCAGCCATGCCTCTGCTACCCTTACTGCGCCAGCTGGACCCTATATGGATGGTAACATCGGCTTTTTTCTTGAAAGAGATTTCACTTCATGCAGGAACCCATCAAACTAGCTTGGAGAAGAGGAGACTGAGGGGGGACCTCATTAATGTTTATAAATATGGAAAGGGTGACTGTCATGAGGATGGAGCCAGGCTCTTCTCACTGGCATCCAATGATAGGATAAGGGGAAATGGATATCAGCTGGAACATAAGAGGTTCTACTTAAACATGAGGAAGAACTTCTTCCCAGTAAGGGTAACAGAACACTGGAACAGGCTGCCCAGAGAGGTTGTGGAGTCTCCTTCTCTGGAGATGTTCCAAATCTGCCTGGATGCGTTCTTGTGTGATCTGATCTAGGTGGTCCTGCTCAGGCAGGGGGATTGGACTAGATGATCCTTTGAGGTCCCTTCCAATCCCTAACATTCTGTGATACTAAGCAAACTACTGTGACATTCTCAGAGGTCAGAGCAATACAAAAGAGCCAGAGCTGGAGGCCCCCCAGATTAATCCAGTTAAAATACTGGCTAACATACCCACATTGAACAGCATCTTTTCCACCTGCTCTCAATACAACAGCTCTACAGGTTTCAAGACTGAGGTAGTCTGCTAGTAGGTTCATTTAGAACAAACCTGACATTCCTGATATTTTTAGAGACAAAAATAAGCAAAAGAGTAGACATTTTCTTTAAATGAAAAATAGAATCAAGTAACCTGATGCAAGCATCTCTGCAAACTGGTATTGTTGGGGTCTCAAAACTTCAGTGGCGTGTCAGCTATTATCAGCTACTAAAGTCAACACAACCAGGCACACAGCGCAGCCTATGGCAAGATGCCTGCTTTCACATGGACCACACTGTCAGCACCACCTTCAATATTACAATGGAAAGTACAGGCAAGTTTTATTACATGGCTGCTCCAACTTTAGTGTTAAAGCCGTGAAGTGATTAAAAGAGCAAGGCATGCTCTCTCTGATGATTTCTCCCCCTCCTTTCATAGGCATTTCCTTTCACCTACTTGTTAATTAACAATAAACAACAGAAACAGAAAAAAATAAATCATAGACAGTAAACATTTAAGTCTTCAAACAAGCAATTCAGAATTAATCTGTGATAAACTGCTTACCTGGATAGCCACCTCCTTCCAGGGCATCATAATTATTTGGAACAGGAGAGGTACTGCTTGTAGTAGAGGAACTATCAATTGCTGGGGAGAAAATAATTTAAAGTTAAGTGCTTCAGAAATGGCAAATTTTTGAGATATAAGAGACTGAGGATTTTTTCTAAAAACTTTGGTGAGAAATTGTCAAGAAAGGTCCTGGAAAAAAAGACCACTTCGGCCCTAAGACTTCAAAGCTATTACCACTGCAAAGAGGAGAAGGGGAGGTAAGAGAGAACCAATCAACATGATATCAAAAAACAAAAAAAGAAGCAGATGCCCAACAAGCAGGAAGAGAGAGATCAACAGGAAAAGGACAGAAACAATGAAAAAAGCTGTTTCTCTAAATAGAATTTTTTTTTCTATAAAACTAGAAGTTCTTTCTAGACTACATCAACTGAAGCAACGTATTACATTTTCAAAAGTCTCTATCGTGACTGCCTTCACAACTGCAAGCAGAAGATTCCCATGGTCTTCAGAGTGATTATGCACCATCCCCACCTTCAAGGAGAACTGACAAGCATTTAGTTCTTTCCTCCTTTCTGTGCTGCTGTAGTTCAGAGCTTGTTTTTTTTCCCCCCCGATGTAAAGCTTCTACTTTCCATTGAACATTGACAAGGGGTCTCAGCTTCAGTCAGAATAAACAGTTAATTTTGGTATAGCCAAAAATAACTACGTAAAAAGTAACTATGTAAAAGTAACAGCACTTAACTAGACAAAAGTGAAAAAGCATTTGGGCACGTACACAGCAGTCAGTACTGAAGAGACTCCAAACGCTTAATTTTTAGTTCACCCTATGCATATATCTTGAATATCTTACTGTAAAACATTGCAAATAAAAATATATTTTAAAACATTTCCTCCAGTGCCATTTCACATACATTTCCAAAGAAAAAGGGCCAAGGAGGTTAAATGTATCCACTCCTGAAGACACCCCAAGCCATGAAGTGCAACAGAAAAGTGTATTTAAGAAAACAGAAGAGAGAATTATATATATATATGACTTTTGTGGCAGAACGGACGCAGAAAAGATTAATTGATACTGTTCTACTCAGAAGGATCAACTGTGACCACACATCCCACTGTGAAGCTGAAAGTATTTCAAGGGAGGACTTCAACAGTGGAACATTTGAGATTTGATCCCCCTTCAATCGACATTTCCAAGTAAAGAGACTCCTGCACATGAGAACATAACATCACTGAAATTTGGGACACATTAATATCATGGCAACATCATGACTGTAAAGATGACTTTTGAGCATCTTCCCTTTAAAGCATTCAGCTAAGAAATAGAAAAACCATTCAAAAAAATTTAACATTAACAATAGCTCTTATTTTAAATAATATATTAACACTGTGAAACTCACACAACATTAGTTTTCAGACTGCTTTTTACTGTAAATTTCTCTTTTTCTGAAGTTCAGAAAAGAACACCACTGCAAGATTTCTTTTCCCAGCAAATTTTAAACATTCTATTCCAGAAACTGAATAAAACGGGATTCATTATTTTGTTCCCTGAGCAGGAACGCAGCTTTTAAAGATCTGTTAAGTCCTACTACAGCAAAGCCAAAATATACTTTTATTAGGTCAACAAGATCAAGATTTAAGAATTTTCAAGAAGTTTTTCTTATCTGAGCAGAGTTAGCTCTCCATTTGACAAAAATGGATAAGAGGACATAAGCACAGTTGTGAACATGTAAGACGCTAGTTTAAGCTTTCTGATTCAACCACTATGTCGCCCTGTAAAGAGTCTTTCCCACAGTAAATTGTATTCATAAAATTATATCCACCTATAATTCCATATAAAATGAGTTTGCTCTTTTCAGTAGGAAGATAGTAATGATACAGAGAGTTGCAAACAAGAACTATTATATACTTTCCAAGCTCTCCTGGAAAAGGTAAGAGAAACCAATTGGACAAATATATGAAAAAACATTTTATAAGCATGCTGTAAGTAAAAATAATGCGACTTATGTCATACTTCTACAAAAAACAATTATCTATGCATCATTTCTGACATACAGAAAAGTTCTAGTCAGAAAGTATAATCTCAGATATTTTGAAATACAAACAAGGTCTGCCTAACTTAAGACAGTGAACCCTGTTACTGAGTTTCCCATATACTTACTGAAGACCTTTCATTCAAGGTCTCTGCTTCTAAAGAACTTTCAGATTTTGTAACATATTCTTGAGAACTATCAGTGTCCCAATGCCTACAAGAATTACCATGTGCTCTGTTCTACTACACGCTGAAAAACAAATAGTTGACTCAAACCCAAAGAGTTGTACAGTTTCCTGCAGATCAAAAGTAGCTTGAAGCTCTAAGCTGGTCACATATGTCATGGAAATCTCACAGGTTCTCCATCAACAAAAACCATAAGAATTTCCACAAAATCAGATCACAGTTGTCCTATGCTTAACTGAAGTGACATCAGCTGTCAAAGTTTACATTAGCATAATAAGCACTGGAACAAAGAACATATTAGGAAGACAGAAATAAGTGTTTTATGAAGAAAAGATATTAGAGCTGTCAAAGTTTACATTAGCATAATAAGCACCCCAACAAAGAACATACTAGGAACACAGAAATGAGTGTTTCACGAAGATATTAGGAAATATTGCTTAGACAAAAGTAATACTTACAGTATGCTTTTACAGTTCAGTAATTATTTTACCAATATAACTTTTGCTTTCAGAGTTTTGAAGAACTCTATTGCAAAACAGTTAAAGACCTAACTGGTAAGAGAGACAAAAAAATTTGAGCCGCTACACAAACTCAAGCAACCAAGTGCCCAACATCTATTTTTCACAAGATCACTGGCCTGAGGCAGAAACTTGTCTACAGGATCTGTTTAGGATTTACACTAACTCCTGGTGACAGGGCATAAAACAAGACACTTATTAATTAGGTAGCCTACATATTGAATCTGAGTGCCTTTTTTGCATAGTACAGAACTTGAGAGAAGGATGATAGGGAGTATGAAAACTTTGTTTCTGCTAGGTTTTGGGGAACAAATTAAGAAGATAAAGGTTGTGACTGACAACAAAATCTGACATATACTTTGACAGAAACGTTGGCGTAGCAGTAGACAAAGATAATTATCTGCAGAAAATTCAGTAGGTAGCCCTGCAATAAAAAAAATCTAAATGCTCTCCTGGCTCTTTCAGCCTACTCTTTAGAAAGCAGCTGCATCACTACAGCCAAAGCAATTGTTTTCTGGCTGGTAAAGTCTAATTAGACTCACAGCATTAGAAAAAAAAATGGTATCTAAAATTAGGAAGTATCCTTATACTTGAAAAGAAGTTATTCAAGAGTTACTACAGATAATTTAATACCAATACTCAAGCCTGTTGAAAGATCAAATGTGTTATCACACAAAGGGTGAGAAAGTAAAAAAACTGAACCAATAATCTGAAATAGCAAGAATTACAATGAATATGCAAAGTATCCTAATCCTTGTGCTTCACTAGGGGTGGAGGTAATAGTATCACTGATATTGACATCATTGCACCCTCCAAGTATTGTCATCCTCTGGCTAGAACACGAGTGTCTTCAGCTAAAAATGCCTTCCTCCTTGGAAAGCAAACAGCAACTATATTCTTGTAATGTTCTACTAATATTTCAACATGGCAGTTGAATCAATATTATTCAAATTGGTAACATGAACCCTGTTCTTAGTTATGGTCTTAATGACGATATCATTTTGCTCCACTCTTCATGATATCATTAAGAGTGTAAAAAGCTATTTTCACAGTATTCTAGTTATATGATTTAGTTATTTTAATAAAACTCAGAATTATTTGGCACCAATTTTTTTCTGCCTAGTTACAACAGGAATTACAAGCTTAAAGGAAAAGTTACAAAAGTTTGCTATCCCAAATTAGTAGTTAAAGCCAGCACACACAAACGAGAGTAGTATTTCAGCACAAGGTATGTTCTTTTACTTTCATATATCAACAAGGGTAGAAGGCTAATGTTTCATCTCAAAAAGCTTTTTACACTGTTACCACTCATATATAGATTGTAAGAACTTTTCTTTAAGTTAGAAGAAAAAAAAGTTATCATGCAAGAAACTAATGTTGTAAGAAAAACTCACAAACCCAGGCCATTCTGAGAAAATACAGGCAGATTCCTTGCAAGCAAGAATGTAACATTTCAATCAAACAGGACAAATTGCTTCTCGAAAAAAAGGTAAATAAACTTTCCAATTCCCCTACAAAGCAAGCAGGTTAAAACTGAACCTATGTGTCTGACCATAGAGACATAACTTAGAAGCAATTAAAAAAAGCAGCACAAATTTACTGTCCGAAAAAAAGCACACATTACCATTCAATATCTACTTTACTACCTTAATTGTAAGGCTTCCCTATTCATAAAATGGGAAGCAAGGTAAACACTTTAATGTATCGACACAAATGGCATCTAGTTGCTTAACATAAGCAATCACCAGTCCAAGTTCTAGAGCTAGTTATCTTCAGTTAAGAGTTTAAAACCTACTGCAAAGCAAAGTATTAAAAATGTAGGAGTCTTGCAAGTTGTGAATATTACTTTCCTCAGATACATAAACAAACTGATTTTAATATGACAAAAAAGACCATTTGCTGACTGCTACTGAACTCCTTGCTGTATATGAGTAATAGCTGGAAAATTTCTAGTTAACCTGATACGTTACGACTCAGAGACTTTTTGTCTTAAAGCAAAAAAGTTTTGAGGATGGAAATATGGAACAAAACTCAAGTAGGAAGAGAACAAGATATGGGTGTAAAGCTAAAGCCAACCTGCTTCCTCATCCTCCTCATCCTCTTCCTCATCATCTGAACTTGATGACAAGGGAGCTGGTGCAGAGCTAGCTTGATTATTAACATATCCACCATACTGCATGCCTGTGAAGTGGAAAGCACAAACATAAGAGTCAGACAGGAAAGATGAGAAACAAAAAGTCACACATCATTGCATTAAAAGTGAGAGAAATTAGCCATTCTAGAGAAAACCCCAACATGCAAAAAGTTACATCTACAACCCAAAGCTATAAAAGTATATTTCATATATGAACTATCAGCAGTACAGCAGAAGCAGTTTTTAGTGGGCTTAAAGTTTAGCAAAGTATTAGTAGCACATGGAAGTTAGCAGGAAATTTTATATATGTGTGTGTGTGCATGCACATCAGGAAGTTAGCCACACGCAGAGACTTTCTATATATGTATTTAACACCAGTTTGTCTGCTGGAACACTTTCCTAAGTCAATACATAGAAATAAATGAGTTCCTTCCCAGATTAATAATGTTTTCATAACACAATTTGAATTTAACTATTGCTTGGCACACCTTCCCCTTTTAAGACAGGAATAAGTCACATTGGAATTGTGAATACTGTGAATATTGTGAATATTTATGAAACATACTGCTGCTGCACCATGCGAAAGTAAAAGCATACACCTCAGCAACACAGGGAAATTTAAGACAGATAAACCTGAAAACTTGGTTAGACTTATTTTTCAATTTGTCCCTAAATTCAGGCTCGTAGACCCATATCTAAGCACCTAAATACACTGTCCACTTTTAAGATCCAGTGACAGCTCAACAACCATCACCACTGTCACCTCCAAACCATAATCTTCAAGGTTTTTTTGGTAGCATTTTTTTTCATTAGTGTGTTTTTTGTCTTTTTTTGTTTGGTGTTTTTTTTCTTACAATATCTACTCTAAACATGTGAACAATACAGAGAAGCAGCACATACATATACCTTTTTAAAAGGGTAAAGCATGCAGCAATGGCTTATAATTAATTTCCTACATTACCCATTACTGAGGCAATTTCAGCACCTCCGACAAATCTTAAGACTCCCTTGTCACAGAGCAGGGTTAGGAAGGATTTTAAATATGCCTAGAGTCAGGCAGAGGCATCCTAAATAAATACAAGTGACCACTGTTTCTCTCTTAGCAATCCAATGGATTGCTATAGCAAGAAAATATCCTTATGCTTCAAAACTCTTCAAAAATTTTCAGACTCCTGAGAATCTGGGATTCCTGCCCCCGTAGGAGCACCACGGCATCATTAGTGTTCTTTATTTTGACGCTATAAAGCACTACAGAAGTGTTGTACATACTGCATAATCTGAAACCATCATGACAATTATTAATCCCCCCATCCACAACTTATATCAACCTTTAATTTACTTAAACCATGGGCTAAGAATGCCGTTAGTTTCGTAGCTTTTTTTAAAAAGGGTTAGCAAATGAACTCCCGAGCACCACTTAAAAACCAACAGAACCAAGGTGAAGGGTATCTATTCAAACAGTGGAAGGAAAAAGAAAACAGAGCAAAAGCATGCTCTGGTTTTGCTGAACTTTCACACAGAGGTTGATGCAAGAAGAGACTGACATTATTTGAATTTATCTAGTGCATTGATACTCCTACAATTCCAGTCAGGTTTCTCCACAATACAAATAGTCACAACGAGAAAGGCAAAATCAACCCAAGCACAACCGAGGAGGCACAACGCTTCGGTTTCTCTGTAGTGCTAAAACACAGGGCCAACTCGAGTAACTCACAGTCCCATCTTTTCTGAAGGCTACTGGATGCACTTGATAAGGAGGAGACAAGAAAACCAGGCTAGAGCCAAGAAGGCCATGCCTTGTCTCAGGCCAGAGAGCTACCGAGGAATGACAGAACAACTGCATTACTGTGAAGGAGAAAAAACAACTTAAAATAATTACCATGCAAGTAAAAAGGAAAAAAAGTCAGGATGACAAGAAGAGATGCACTGTAACACCGAGAGCCAAAGTAAAAGAAGATGGGCATAGTGTGAGAGTGCAAAGACAGATCTCCAGCAAATACCATGTACACAGACACGAGAAGAAGGTAAGTTCACCTGGAAAGGGCATGCCAATGCAAAAATTCCAAGCACAGGCAGATGAGAGAAAAACACTGAATCAGTCATTCTACTAATGCTACTTTGGAGTCTTCTGAATGGTTTTTTTTGGAAAACAAATAAACAAGCTTCTACTGCTAAAACTCTCCCTTTTCCAGTCGCTGGTCACATACACAAAGGAAGCATGTATTCAGAAAGAATACTGAAAAAGAGGATTAAAAATATGCTGGTGACACAGAAACTCGGGAATCATGAACTATGTAACTATGAATCCTCTCGGGGGCAGGGCTGGCTTGACTCTTACCAGCCTTACGAGTTTGCATAATTTTTTTTTTTTTGAATTGCCAGCAGTAAGTACTTCAAACTCCTGCCTTTAGGATACAACTGCCCAGCCACAAAAACAATCCGAGAACTGATTTGGCTGAAAAATAACAGTTTACAAAGTCGTTCCCAGGTGCAGAAGCCTCCAGTTCTGGTTCACTCCCCAGCAATGCCACCAGTAGGCCAGCACAGGGGAACAGCAACCGAAGGGCAGAAGTGTGTGGCTTAACTCAGCAGTTCCAAGTGCCACCATGTGCCTAATGATGATTTCTGTTGCGACAGATCAGTTCTGCTTAGTATCTTTTACACAGCGGCTAATAATGTTAAAATCTCCCACTCGTAAAACTGCAAAAGCTTATTTTGAAATCATCATTTATTTTGAGTGAGATTTCAGACTTCATAAGCCTGGCTTAAAATTCAACCATGTGATTTAAATTTTCACAAACTTCTTGGACTGGAAATTTCTAAACCCTGCTACCAGTGCACCTATAATATAATAATATCGCACTCAATGTTTTTATCCCACTATATTTTACAGACACTTAGAAATGTAGGTGGGAGGACACAAAATAATAAACTGGGACAAGAATTAATTTGCCTATGAAATAAACCAACTATTTAGGTATTTTAAGTACAATCACCCATACCTTGAAAGACTTTATACACTTTACATTTTATCTTATGTGGCTTAAGTTTCATAATGGAGGCCTCAAAAAATGGAAATGAAATAACCACATGCAAAAACAAACTATATGCTGAAGTTCTTTAACTGGCACTATACCCATAGCCCTCATACTTTCAATGAGTTTACTAAGTCATTAAGATCTTAATAAAACAAATAGAAGTTCTTACAAAACAAACCTTTCTTTTCTCTACTCTTAAACTCTTTTCTTTAAATTATTTTCATTTACTTATCAGCTCCTCTCACCAACATAAAACCTAGAGGAAGTCTACAAATAACATCCAGACAGCACACACATTGTCCAAGTTCATCTCTAGGATGTTGTTTTCAAGTAAATCAGTTTTTCTGCATTAAATTTGTATGGATATTTATGTAAGATTAAATAAGCTTTAACACATTTGAAGTTTTTTTGTCCTGTTAGAACTTTGTCAAGTAAACAATTAGAATATATTAATTCTGTATAGGAATGCCCACAAAGGAGCTTAAAACAATGAAATCCACTTTAAAAATGAATTCAAACTGGTTTTCCAGAATGCTTTCAGGTAGACAACACTACTCTATAATAATAAAGAAATCAGTCCATTTAATCTCTGCATGAGAAACACTTGGAATTCTAACAACATGGACAAACATTCAGTGGATGTGTTCTATTTTTTCCATAGGTTAATTTCTACAAATAAAAGTTATCACATTTGTCAATAAAAAGGTATTGCAAGACTACATGATGTATTTCAGACTCCTCAAATGCAGCTAAATGAAAAGAGTTTGAAGTCATCTAATGCTCACAAAAATATTACCTAAACATAGAAACATACATGTGTAACGACATGTATATGGATTTATTATTGATTATATTAATGTAAATGCAACTAGAACAATGCAAACTCCTGACAACTTCTCCATATACTCCTGACACTGGCGTATTGCTGGTTTTAAACTGTGCTCATGAAGCGACATACTGAATTAAACTTCACTTATATGGAAGTACTTGAGTTTAGTGACAAGTTCAGCAGTGATTTGCCTTTAACATACCAAGTGTTCCCACATTATATAGGAATCACTGCAAGAACACATACATTGCACATCAAGGCAAGCACAGTCAAACAGCTAAAATCCTCTTTCTCATTAGAAACACAGTTATGTGATTTCTTTGCAAGATGAA